GTCACCAAAATATGAGAAACTGACAGACAGTTCAATAGTTATTAATTTTTGCATTTCTAAATTGAAGCTGTTAAAACTCCTTTGACTTATGAAAATTAATCTTTAGATTGTTTAGTCCAAGACTGACAAAGTATCATAGTAATTCATGTTGAATTAAATTGGAATCAGACTGAATTGAAAAAAAAGGACAGTCTTAGGCTTTCTAGTAATAATTTGATGTTTGGTAGATGTGTTTTGTTCAAATGAAGTGGGCCTCAAATTTATAAGACATAGGGAAAGGAATTTAGCCCAGGATATATTTAAGGACACAAAGCTTGGTTAATTAGGTTTTTATTTTATCTTAATTCTTTCTGGTAGCTCAGAAAATTGTGATCAGCAAATCCAATGGAGTCTTTGATAGGCAGGAATATTTTTGAATATTTATAAAGCACTTATCTATTAAAATTATTTCTCCTGTCTGTGCAAAAAAAATTGTTGGTGCATTCCAAGATTATGTTTCTAAGAATTTCTTTAATTATAAGAGTTGCAGTGGCATGATGCCTGAAAAGCACCCTACTCAACAAGAAAAACTGCAAACCATTGCCAATAAATATTTATAACCATTTGAAGGATGGGGCTGGATAAAATCAAGTTGCCATTTAAGCACAGCCCCTTCAAGTAATGAGAAATTTCCAGGTAAAACTTTAAAAGCTGTGTTGGACTTGGAGTTAGCGCCAAATAGAGTAGTGAAAAGTAACATGCTCAGCCGGTTTAAAAATGTACCAAGTATTTCTTTAGCACTTCAAAATTGTATCTGCTCTCAAAAGGAACCTTTCAATGAGAGCTTTTAGCATGGAAAGATGAAATTATTTAGGGAAGACAAGCTTCTGTAAAGGCAGTAATTTGGTTATGAATACTTGAGAAGATTTTTCTCTCTGCTACTTCTTGTTTTTTATTTTCAATCTTAGTTAATTTTTCTATGAATATGTCTAAATGAAATTCATTGCCCAACCTCTAGTAGCCTCCTTTACTGCTTCCATCAAAGCTAGAATAACTTGTGAGGCAGCTGGTCTAGAGGCTTTTTCATCCAGGTGATTCCTTTTCCTCTCTGCATTCTGAAGGACTCCCGTGGGTTGATGAGCCTGTCTTTTTATTACAGCAGTCTCATAAGGGAGTTAAATTCTTGTAAAGAATTTAACAAGTCTGATACTAAAGTTTATTTTGATAAAAGTTCTCAAAGAGGTTGCACATACTCTCTGTTTTCATAACATGCCAAAATGGTAAGTGAGTGAAGGCAGAGTTAGAGTGAGTAACCATGCATAGACGCTCCTCCAGCAACTTTGTGGACTCTGGTAAGGATAATTAATTCATTTTGGGATGAAGTAATTTTAAGAAGGACTTGACTTTCACCAACCTCTGTAGAGGTTATCATGGTATATACAGCTTGGCCATAAGAGATATCATGCACAGGATTCTGATAAGAACCACCAACCAATAGAATCAAATTAGGATTACCCGAAGGAGTTCGCTTAAACATTTTTTGGAGAGGTAAAAGATGTTCAGTAAATTTAGAAACTATGTATTGGGTAATTCTTATGGTGATGTTCTGGAAAGAAAGTGAAATTATTTTTAAAAGCCACAAAATAGTCTAATATTGGGTGCTGCAAGAAGGAAGTGAATTGACTAGTGGAGACAGGCTTGGTTAAATCAAAGTTAAAGACAGAAGCTACTGAATGGGGAACATAAATATTACAGCAGTGGTTCACAACCTTCCTCATGCCTCACCCCTTTCATACCATTCCCCAGGTTGTGGTGATCCCCAACCATCAAATTATTTTCATTGCTTCTTCATAACTGTAATTTTGCGACTGTTATGAATCATAATGTAAATATCTGATATGCAGGATGTATTAGGCAACCCCTGTGAAAGGGTCGTTTGACTCCCCAAGGGGTGACAACCCACAGGTGAAGAACTATTGATTTACAGGGGAAAAAAATCCCAGAATTATGTTTGCAGTATATTAAAAAGGGCTTTCTGTAGCAGCAACATCCTTGAAGCAGGAAAAAAACTCCATAGCTACAGGGTCAAGCTACAGGCTAACGTAAACAACTAGTCTCTTATGATAGCCATGCTTTTGAGATAACACATCTAAAACATGTCCAGAGACTTCATGTGCACCCAGGGGAAAATCTAGATTAGTTAGGAAAGATAGGAAAGTCTAAGGCAGGCATATTTTCTAGTTTTCTTCAATTTATTTAAACCTCCTAGTCTTCCATTGAAATATGGAAATAAATCTATTTCAGTGGTTTTCAAATAAATATCAGGGGAGATTTCAATATGAATTTTGAAAGGTATTTTAGGAATAGCTTTGTGGTAGTTATATAATCTGTTGTCAATTTGAGAGGATTAAGTATGAAGGGGTGGAGTTTAGCCTGCCAATAAGGACGCAGCTTGATGACCTCATTTGTAGATGCTAAGGAGATAAAAAGCTTGCTTGAAGCAGGACCCAGGCTCACTCCCGGTGAGACATTACGGAGGAGGAGCGCTATGGAACTATACTGATACTGCCTGATCTCTGGAGCCAGAGGGGCCAAGTAGAGAGACCCCTGCCAGCAATGAGATGCTTACAATGCCACTGAATCCACAAGACTTCCCACCCACTGGCCTGTGATTTTCTTGCATTCAGCTTCATTGCATGTGTTGCATGAATCTGAAGAGGAATTAATAGATTGGTATCCAACATATGGGCTAATATAAGACTTAAGGACTTGATCTGGACTGGGCTGGCATCTTTTCTCAATATTCAATTGCTCTATTATAGAAAGCTCATTTTTATAAACATATGAGTGTCTATGAATTTGTTTCTCTAGTTTACCCAGACTAACCCAAGGTTATATTTTCTTAGTAGGTTCTAGTAGGTTCTTTGGAGTAAAATTAAAGTTCAGACAAAGTATTAGTAGAGGAATAGATAGTAGCATCAGAAAAGCAAGAAGGAGAAGAAGGATACAAAAGAAGAGAGCCAGCAATGGAGTCGATGGTCTTGGGTCAGATTGAGTCATTGGGACATAACTTTGCAATCACAGTTCTTTAATCTGCTTACATAGGGCACTTGTTGATGAAGAACAAAGATTGTAGCCACTGGTATGGATCACAACTCAATGTAAAGAAAAGTAAAATCCTCACAACTGGGCCAATAGGTAACATTATGATAGATGGAGAAAAGATTGTGATTGTTAAGGATTCAATTTGCTTGGATCAACAGTCGATGCTCACTGAAGCGACAGTTAAGAAATCAGATGGGAATTGGAAACGCAGGGAATCTAGGACAGATGAACCACTCAGGACCAGGGGTGACAGTGGCGATACCAGGAGGGAAGGGGGGTGTAGAAAGGGGGAATTGATCACAGGGAGCTACATATAACCTTCTCTCTGGGGATGGGCAGCAGAGGGGTAGGTGAAGGGAGACACCGGGCAGTGTAATATGAGATATAATAATAATTTATAAATTATCAAGGGTGCATGGGGGAGAGGGGAGGAGGAAGGGAGGGGGAGGGGGGGAAAAGGAAAATGAGCTGATTCCGGGAACCCAAGAGGCAAGCGAATTTTGGGAATAATGAGGGCAACAAATGTATAGATGTGCTTTACACAATTGATCTATGTATTGTGATGAATTGTATGAGCCGCAATAAATTGATTTAAAAAAAAAAGAAATCAAATCACGCAGTGTACTGGGTAAATCTGCTGCATTATATGTTGAAAATCAAAAAAGTTACTTTGAGGACTAAGGTGCACCTGATCCAGACGAGGGTATCTTCAATCGCCCCACATGCTTTTAACGGATGCGTTTGAACTATGGCGTTGGCACAGAGTATTGAAAGACTCCTGGACTGCCGAAAGAACAGATGTGTCTTGGACTGTTCCTCAGAAGTCAGGGGGTGAGTCACGGTCTCTGCCCTGGGACACGCTGTTCGGAGCTGGAGGAGGGGCAGTGAAAGCAGAAGGCCTCCAGGAGACGGAGTAGCCAGGTGCTGCCCCAGCGGCTCCAGCACAAGCATAACCATGAGGTGTCGCGGTCCGGCAGTCTCCTTTTATTGAAATGGATGAGTCTGAACTCACTCAATATCACCTGATAACATTTAAGTTGGAACTTCCCCGCACAGAAGCAGACTCTTAGTATAGCTTCTAGAACAGCAGTTCTCAACCTGTGGGTCGTGCCCCTTTGTGGGTCGAACGCCCCTTTCACAGGGGTCACTTTAGACCGTTGGAAAAATGCAGATTTCTGATGGTCTTAGAACAGAGATACCACTCCGCTATCCGCCCACATGCAGATATGCCCACAAAGGAGCGCCCACGTGCAGACTGTTAGCCATGCTACACCATTTAAGGTGAACAGATTTTAACATTGGTAAAGCGGGACACCATTGATAAAACTCATATCCTGGCGAAATAGCCATATAGCTTGTCGTGCATTCTTTCCAAAAATTGGGATTTTTTTAAAACGCTGCGGGATGCGGGAAAAATTGTTAAAAATCAGGACTGTCCTGCCAAAAGTGGGACGTCTGGTGCTGCAAGACAAAATTTCATTGATTTGTCATTAGAAATAAATATTTCACAACATATAATTACCTATTGTTTTTGTGATTGATCACTATGCTTTAATGATGTTCAATATGTAACAATGACAATACATCCTGCCTATCAGATATTTACATGACAATTTATAACAGTGGCAAAGTTACAGTTACGAAGTAGCAACGAAAATAATGTTATGGTTGGGGGGTCCTCACAACATGAGGAATACTGTATTAACCGATTGCAGCATTAGGAAGGTTGAGAGCCCCTGTTCTAGAAGCTTCAAATTCCAATTAGAAAAACATCCCATTGTTTTCATTTTTGGAGCCTTTTATTAAACTAGCTGTGCAAAAAAAATCTGTTTCAATAATTTCAAATACCCAAAATGTAGACATTTATTTTTTTCCCCCTCCAGATTCCTCTTTATTTGATTTATTTACTTATTTTTCTTCATCCCATTGATTGACAGCTGCCACTGGCACAGACCCAGGGCAAGGATGCAACCAAAGTTTTTTCTTTCCGCTCCAGCTACCAAAGCCTGGCCCCACAGCCTGGCGAAGGGCCTGTGAAAGTGCTTAAGTTTCCTCTTCAGTAAAAGAACGCCAATGGATTGAGATCGGGAACAGAGGAGTCCCAAGCAGAATTCTACATTTCCTCACCTGTGGCAGTCTCCAACCTCCAAAAGATTTGAATTCGTTCTATGTTTAGGACTCAAGTTTAACAACGTTCTCATAGGGGTACCCCAGGTTTTGGAGAGGGTGTTTTGCTTACAACAAAGTGCCCCTTGGAGCAGTGGCGAGGGTTTGTGAACGGTGAACAGCCTATTGCCGCTGCCCCATTCCCTGAGCCAATGTAACCTCACCCGGAAGTTTTTAATCATCTTTCACAACTGGCAATTGCCCTACAGAATTTATTGGTCAGACTGTGCTCTTTTATTGTTTGTTTTTCTTCCTTTGGGGCTTACAGATTCTGAGATCCCACAAACCTAAAAACCTTCTGGCATAATGAATTTTCCAAAATTTTGTAACAATTCTTGAAATACTAGGCTGAACAGAAGAGACAAAGGGAAGCAAACAAGTGAAGAACAAAATTATGATTTCCAGTTGTTCTCAAAGAGCTCAATGTAAGAAGGCAGAGCTCAAGGTGAAAGAGGAGCCTACGCCCTCTAGTTTTGAAAACTCCATGGAAACGCAGAAAGCTTCAAAAGGCTTTGCTGGTGCCAGAACTGTAGGTTCTTATCCTTTTAGAACTGCTGAAGATAAAACTACTACAAAGGCCCATTTTGATAACAAGAAATGTCAGAGCAAACTGGAACTTCTGTTAAAATTAAAAAGATTATTGAAGAAATAAAGTTATCCAAGATAGAGCAGTATCTTGTATGGATTCACTAAAGTGCTGTAGTGAAAGGAATTTAAATATAGAAGATTCTAGAACATACTATAAGAAAATTTTGATTGGTTGACTTTACAAAATCATGCTGTACAGAGACAAGATAATGGAAAGATCCCTTAAACATTACTTTGGATTGTAACGTTTGAAATATTTAATTGTTTATTGTAAGAAAATGTTTAGAACTAACCTTTCTCATGTATACTGTCTGGCTGACTTATGAAAACAGTTCAGAATGAGCAGTAAACACACACAAAAGGCAAGTTTGTATTTACCTAGAAGCTTTTTCTTATACCAAGCACCAAATTCTTTTGAATTCCTACTTCCCAAGGAAGGATTTGATCCAAGACTAAGAACGTCATTCTTTTAAAAACATGTTTTGTTGCAAATTAAGTGAGGGTTTACATTTCAGATCATCATCATTTTTGTAATCAACCATTGAAAAACTGCTCAAATCTTCGAATAGTTTTTTCTCTCTTCCTCAACCTTTTTTTCTCCTCCCCTTCTTGTAGGGAGGACAACCTTCCCTTTCATCTAAGTAATAGCTGTCTACACGGTAGCCTATTGCTTCCCCTTACTTCCCTCTCTTCTTACCCTGTTAAGTATCAAAGTTTGTGTCTTTTGCAGTAGTGGTCTTGTACCTTATTTGTCCTTGTCATTGACTAATTTCATGCCATAGAATGTCCTCCAAATCTGTATCATGAAGCGTTTCACAGTTTCATCATGATTCTTTAGTGAGGATTCCAGCATCATAAGGATCAGTGGAAATTTTACTGTCTATTGAGACAGATAAGAAATATATTAAAATGTCTTACCTCCACTCAAGGTAAAATTGATGGTGTCAACATTAGAAATTATTAATATATGTTCAAAAACATATAAAATATAGGTGTAATGAAAGAAGAGTTGGAAAAATTCTGTAAAGAAATGAAAAATATAAATTGTAAAGAAGAAATACTAGAAATGAAAAGCATAATATACAAAATGAAAATCCAATATATGGGCTCAACCGTATATTCAAAAAGAAAAAGAAGAATTAGCAAAAATAAAAACAGTACAATAAATATTATCTAAACTGATAATCAAAAGGAAAAAAATATAAGTGTTTGAAAATACATAGTGGCTGAGTGATTTTTGTGAAAACACAAAGCAAAATCATAATGATTAATTGTTATAGAAGAAGAGAGAAAACAGGGGAGCAAATATTTGATGAAATAGCAGTTTACAATCTATAAATGTGATGAAAAATGTACACCTATCAATCTCAAAATTTAGTCAGACACTGGAAAGATGATAAAATGTTTATGAAGTTAACAATCCTTAAGATGGCAAGACCTACTAGACGGAGACAAGAGAAGTCCCAAGGCTATTGTATTAAGATTCCTTTTGAACTTGGAAGTGTCATTATTTCTGTAGTTCACGTTGTGAATCCTGGACTCCCTTCAACAACCAACTAAACCACAATCCAGATGCATGGCCATGAAGTTGATTCCAACTCACAGCAACCTTATGTCGGGTTTCTGAAGCTCTGTAAATCTTGATGGAATCAGATGGCTTCAGCTTTCTCCCACTGAACAGACTGTAGGTTTCAATAACCAACATTATGGTTAACAATTGAACCTTTAAATGACAGTGCTACCAGGGTTTCTTAACCATATGAGAACACTGGGTAAATGAATGGTCAACATTTACCCAAAAGCAAAGATGAGACGGCAAAAGTAGAAAGAGAACCTAGATCAATGGAAACAGGAAAAACAAAAAACAAAATATAAAAATAATAAAAATGCTGACACATTTGAAAATTGCAACCAATGTCATAGAAAAATTTATATAAAGATTGTTAAATGGGAACCTAATTTGCTGTGTACACATACTTTTACCTAATATAAAAAGATTTTTTTAAATCAGTTTGTTTGTAAATTTTACCAACCTACAATTCACATTTAATAAATTTCAATAGTTGAAACACATTCCTAAGAGTTGTGTTACCATCACCACAATCAATTCTAGGACACTTCTTCTGCCTTGTACTCATTGCTGTTAGCTCCTCATTTCTTGCCAGCTTCCCTTATCAGGAACATTTTAATCTATTAATCCAATTTTCCGTAGTTTCATCTAATATGTGTTTTGTATCCATAAAATTGTAGAAATTCAAGAAAATACAAACAATTGACTTAACAACAGTGACATAATGAAGCAAAGAAAAAATCTCAATCAAAAAGGAAGTAGAAAATATTAAAAACTGGAGCAATTATACATGGGATCAAGAGGGAGATCAATGACAAGATGTCACAATTTGGCCTAACTACCTAATTAACCCTCCTTGCAATGCGCTTTGCCTGATAACCAGGCCTCTGCCATCCTGGTGTGTAGTCTGTTGAGATTCACAGAGGTTTAATCTACCCGAGGGACCCTGAAAGTGGGTTTAGGACTTTTACTGCTTATGTCCTTCTGCAAACTGGGTATTCAGAATGTAACTCTAATATCATTCCCTCCTTTGGGTTTGGCTTTTATTGGAGCACACAGGCTAGTGTGCTTCTTCTGTGTGGACTCAGTCAATGCCTCAATCAAATGGTTGCCTGTTTTAAGACGTCTTTAAAACCCCATATACTATTTTTTCTCTTAGGCAGGTACCATGTGCTTTCTATCACACTTTGCTATATCACCCATATCTTCAGTGAACACATGGGCAGAAGTATTGGCAGGGAGTACATGATAATTTTTTATAAAGAAAATGTTAATAGATTGAATATACAAAAATGTTTAATAAATTTTAAATATTTTTGCCAGTGTCATCAGGTATGAAAATGAAAATGAAGTGATAAATGACTAGAAAGGAAGCAGCAAACATTTCTTTATTCGTGTGTTGAATACCTCAAAGATTCTGATAAATCCACCCCAGATAATCATAAACATGAAAGGGATTTAAAAATTAATAAGCTATAAGGTAAAAATAGATAAGAATGTATACAGTAGCTAAAATTTTTTAATGAAATTGAAACACTATACTATTTGCAATCATATCAAAAGCTAATGCAACATCTGTATACTGAAAATTTACATCATTGCTGAGACAAATTTAGAAAGAGCTAAGTAAATGGAAATATATCATTCACGGCTCGGAAGAGTAAATATCAAAAAGTCCGCTTTGCTAACACTACAATTCAACACAGCAAATTCAATCAAATCTCAATCAAAATTTCAAAAAGCAAATTTGATGTAAATTGCCTAAATAATTCTCATGTTACTCCCAGCTATGAAAAGATGCTAGATATAGCAATGTTAAATACACACATGGGTACCACCTTATTTTAAGACCCACTATGTGCTCATTAAATATTATCTATATGCACATACCTGGGCTTTCAAAACACTTGTTGAAAATGGAATTTAAAAAGAATTAAAATTTTTATGAACTGTTTGAAATCTACATGTAGATAGATACATAAATTATAGATACATAAATAATAGTCAGTTATAAATAAACAGTTATTAAAAAAACAGCACTATACTCACAACTATTGAGTCAATTCCACTCATAGAAAGCCTACATAAATTTTCTGAAGCTATAAATCTTACAAGAGCAGACAGTCTTAACATTCTTTGCAAAGAGGTGGGTTTCAACAGCAGTCCAATCCTTCCCAAAAAGTGCAACCAGGATTCCTCTGATGTGTTTTAATTGAAGTTTCAAAGATAATTCAAAGAGAAAATTAAAATCTCATAGCATATTCAAAAATTATTCTGAGAGGATGGATCACACTTTAAAATAAAGCTTTAAAATCATAGTTTTAAGGATAAAAATGAAAAGGTCTAACATCCTGGGAAATATAAGCTGTAACCTGGAAGAAAACATGTAGTATACATTTATCCAGCAGTGAAATTACTAAATTCAAATTAGATAAAGAAATAGGTAACTTGACTAATGAGCACAGTCTATGCAAATCTCCAATTTAATCTATGCAAATTTTCAATATGAGCATGAGAAAGTGCTCAACTTTATTGACCACAAAAGCCAAAATACCTGTGTTAGGCTGGGTTTTCTAGTGCAACAAAACCAGGACAAACACACACATACACAAAAGTGTATTAAGAAAGGAATGTAGATCAAGGAAGCCACCCAGTCCAGTCTAACTCGAGTCTCTGGGTCAGGTGTTAGCTGGAGCCCCCGCCAGACTCAAGCAACAGCTGA